GCCTGCGAAAAGATCAGGGAGGACCACAACCTGCTACCCTCACAGCAAATGGGGGCAAGAAGGGGCAGGTCCCACTGAAACAGCCATAGCACAACTTCTAGCCCAGATAAGGACAGTGTGGCAGCACCCAGGACAGGTGGCATCGGTACTCTCCCTAGACATGACAGGGGCCTATGACAAGGTGCTGCGGGAGCGAATGGTTCACATCCTCCGGCGACTGGGCATCCCCAGGGACCTGGTGGGATGGGTTGCGTCCTTCATGACCAACAGGAAATCCACAATTGCCTTTGAGGGCCAGGAATCAGACACCTTTGACATCCCAGCAGGCATCCCGCAGGGGTCACCCCTATCACCTATACTATTCCTATTCTACAATGAGGAACTGGTGCGCATCTGCTCAAGACCGGGGCGCCCGGTGGTGTGCATAGCCTTTGTAGACGATGTCAACGTGATGGCCTATGGCCAGTCCACTGAGGACAACTGCAGGGAGCTCCTGCGCATGCATCGGGCATGCGAGGAGTGGGCAGCACGGCACGGGGCGGTCTTTGCCCCCCAGAAGTATGAGCTAATGCACTTCACACGGGCGCGCAACCAATTCAACCTACAGGCTGAGCTGAGACTGCCAGGACAAACTATACAACCGAAACAGGTGATGAGGGTATTGGGTGTATGGTTAGACTCTAGGCTGAGATGGAAGGGCCACCTGGACGCGGTGGCAGGCAAGATGAAGACTCAAGTCAGAGCACTGTCCCAAACCACCCAATCCACATGGGGGCTCCCACTACGACAAGCGAGAATGGTGTATAACATGGTCATCAGGCCGGCCCTGACCTATGGAGCAATAGCATGGCACCAGCCACAGGGGCAGGGGGGCACGGGTCCAGCTAAGTCAGGACTGGCCCTCAAGCTGACCACAGTGCAGAACTCCTGCCTCAGAATAGTGGCAGGGGCATACAAAAGAACCCCAACAAGCACACTGGAAGCGGAAACCCACACAGTACCCTTAGACATCCACCTGGATGGGCTAGTGGCAAAGGCGGTCAACAGGATGAAGGCCTCAGGAATGGCGCAACAAATTGAGAATGCGTGTGCGGCCATAAGGACCAGGCTTCGGCACCGGGGGGTGACAAGGGGGGCACAGAGACACATGGGAGCTGTGGTTCACCCGGCAGCCCTGCCAGTGGACTGGGAACAGCAATGGATTCAGGGTGCTAAGGAGAGAGTCACAGCAGAGATGACACCGGAACAACGAGCCAACCTGGACCAAGCCTCATATAATCACTGGCTGAAGCGCGAGCAGCTCTGGAGGTGGGTGCAGAGGTGGAAAAGACGTGAGCCCCCCTGGGGGAGCGGCATGGCCGGCCCCCAGACAAGAAAATTCTGAAGTGGCACACCGGCCTGCGCAAGGCTCGCAGCACTATCATCATCCAATTGAGGTCAGGGAAAACCGGACTGGCAGCTTTCCTAAACCGGTGTAAGGTACCTGAATTCCCCACCCCACGGTGCCCCTGTGGGTATGAATGGGAAACAGTCGAACATGTTCTGATACACTGCGAACGCTGGGAGCAGCAGCGTCAGGGCCTTATAAGAAATGGCAGGCTAGACAAGAGGATGCTGCTAGACACCAAGGAAGGCCTGCATCTCCTGTCAAACTGGTGGATGGAGAGCGGGATTCTAGGCCAGTTCACATTAGCACGCGAGCTGACACACTATGTACCATAAGGCCCTGAGCTGCCTTGGACCCCCAGAATCCACCTGAATCCCACATGCACTCACTCCCCTGACTACTTAGCCCCTCCCT